TCACAGTTGTCGGCAAAACATAAATAAATCAAATCAAATAAGCCATAAGAAGACAAAAATGAAAAAAAACTGTACATAATGTGTTCCACATGGAGTTTTTTTATATTGTTTTATTTAGTTAACCTTTATTTATCCAGGTAAACTATTTGAAGAACCACTTCTCATTTACGAACATGACCTGGCATGCACTGACATGGAATGCATTGCGACATACAAACCTACATATTCAGCCATAGTAAAGTGATTGTTTGTAAAAAAAAAAAAAGTTTGATTAATCGCGATTAAAATGTTTAATCTTTGTCCAGCACTAAAATTAATCAATATGAGTTAACTCGATTAATTTCACAGCCCTGCATGAATTATTTTACCCTCTAGCTTTTTTATTGTTTTGTTGTTTTCAGTTACCTGTTAAAGGCTTACATGATTAACAACTCTTGTTTTGTTTTTTTTAATTTTCTCCTCCAGCTGACTGTTTGATTCCTGAGGGGGGGCCAAACATGGTCCCGACCACTGAAACTCTTCTAAGGAATGATTTCCCTGAAGGCTCTGAGGCCGTGTTAGAATGTGCCAATGGATACGTCGAAGACAGCGGCTCTGGGATTTTAACRTGTCGTGGTGGGAAATGGACTGAACCGGATCTTACCTGCATTAGTGAGTTTTATCTAATTAAAAAAAACAGTAGCTCGTCAGGCGACTGCAGCTGTTGACAGCCATTGTGAGAGATGGGAGTTCTGAAGTGATCGGTTATGTTTTATGTTCCAGAAAAAGACTGTGGTGTTCCTGAAGAACAGAAAAATATGAAGTTTCATATCTTTCATGGTACTCTGTATGGTGATATGATTAAAGTAACTTGTGATGAAGGGTAAGTATGGATGAACACATTAGATTTCCACTATTTGCTCACATTATGTTTGAATTTTGCTGCTCCTATCAGCTGGTGGCAATGTTGCTTTCCAAAGTTTTTTTGTTTTTATTGTTGTTTTTTATGCAATCATGTCATTAATCTGACTCACAGAGCTACAAGTGACATGATCTCACACTTATAGTAACGCTTTAAACATCTCTAAAAGAATGCTCCAAATGTCAGCTAGGGTTGTTGCCAAATTATGTTTCAGCAGTRGAGGAAGCCACAACTGCTTTGTTGAGCCCAGAGGGAAATTAGGTAATGCCAAGACGGAGGCTTTAACCACAAGGATTTAGCTTCTGCTTGAATGATTATTAGTCTTTCACAAGGCAAAGGTGGACAGTTATGTTTTGCACATAGTTGTGTTTCTAAATTTAGTTTAGTTTAGTTTAATAGTTTATTCATTTCGATTAAAAACGAAAATTTCAATACAAAAAAAGAAACAAATCTCATAAAATGAAAGGAAGCTGAGGAAGGAAAAAATCTAATATCTGCCCCTATTTAACAAAAAAAAAC